TGTTGTTGTAGTTGTAGTAGTAGGTGTTGTTGTTGTTGTTGGTGGTGGTGGTGGTGTTGTTGTTGTTGCTGGTGGTGCTGGTGTTGGTGTTGTTGTTGTTGTTGGTGGTGGTGGTGGTGGTGCTGTTGGTGTTGTCGTCGTCGTCGCAGTAGTAGTAGTATAGTCGTCGTCGTCGTCGTCGTCGTCGTCGTCGCCTTTGTTGTCGTCGTCGGCGGCGTCTTTATCGTGCAGGTGGCACTGGTAGCAGCATTGTTGTTTTTGCTGGTTTCGTTTGTAACAACCGCCGGTAGTGAGGGTTGTCAGTGTGTCGTCGTTGTTGCTGCTGTCTTGTTCTCATTCCAGAACTGGCAGAACCGTGCGCACGTGCCCAAACGCGCAACGATCGTCAAACATCGAGCTTCGCTGTTTGGTTCATCTAGCCTTGTTGGCAACAGCGAGCCTGCATCTCTGGAGGAAGAGACATGCAGATGTAAAGAAGTTAGCTTAAGCCGTCAGGTTAGAGGGGCTTTTAGTGTTTCGGACGTAAGGCTATTGTGTTTGAGATTTGCACGCAGGGCTGCAGGGCTAGTGTCGTTGAGATTCAGAGTGCCTGCAACCTTTAGCATTGTTCCGGGTCCTTTCCCGAGTGCCCGACTTGGGTCCGAGATGGTTTCGAGATGCGTGCATTTCTCAAATCTTTCGCCCGGTCCATGTGGCGAGGGGTTTCTGGCCTCGAGGGAAGAATTAGCAATATTAGCTGTCAAGGCAACCTACAAAGGTCACAAGCAAAGGGTGACCTTGTCGTCACCACTCTCTGTCCACCCCTCACAGTATCTTGCCAAACAGACGGGCCACCAACTTAGGGAGATTCAGGTTCAGGATGCACGGTGCATGCTTTGTGATCAGCTTGTGGGCTTAAGGGGTTGGGGTTTCGGGTGGTTTTCTTGCCTTTTACTCCGAGTCTGAATCTGTCGGCAGGACGGCCGCCTTTTTGCTTCGGGTCTCTGAACGACCTGGAGCCATGACGCTGCAAGTGGCGAGAGTAGGAACTTGCCAGAATTTGTTGTACCTTAGACAACGTTTCTGTGGCACGCAGCCACGAGCCTGATGGGATCTACGGCGACCGCCATCACAGCTCCAAAAAGACCAGCAGCGTTCCTGCACATGTGTTCAGACGCATTGCAAACTGGTTCTGGACGCCTCGGTACAAAGTGAGGCCCCCGGAACAGGGACTATCCAAACCCCGATGAGGACACCAAATATCTTCCCGATTGATCAACCCACAGTCGGATAGCTATACTAGGCTGCAGCCTTGTGATTCTGAATGCCGGGGAAGCTCGCTTTCCCGGCTGCTACGCGGAGCTCTAGACCGAGAGCTACTGCAAACCTTGAAACCCACGAAAACCCAAAAGGATTGACACTCCCAAAGCTTCAGCTCTGCCAAGCAGCCGGACGGCAAGTTTTCCGTTTCTCCAAAATCGCTTGAATGTCATGGTTTAAAAGTCTTAAACCCTGAGCCGTAAGTGGAACCTGGGTTCCAACCCTGCTAAAGCGCAACATGGCATCGTTTTAAGACTCTTGGGCCACTTGGGGTTTCGTATTTACGGCTTCGGGCCTCAAAACCTTGGCCTCTCCAAGGTTTCGGGCCCAAGGGCCCCCAAATACCTTTTGTCAAGGCCTCAGGCCTAAAGTTAAAGCGTTTTGTTAACTAAGGGCTGTCTTTAGCTGATACAGATTGGGCCTTCCTGGAATACTATTGGCCCATTGCAGAGAATCTAAATGATGGAATTCTGTGCCAAATAGCGCAAGCCTCGTTCTAGTTCACTGTTTTTGGCTCCTGGCACTTGACGCACATCGCCGACCCAGGGTCCAAGCCTCCCTAAACCCTAAACCCTATGTCCGAACCCTCCATGAACTCGAACCCTAAGTGGACCCAAGCAGAGCGAAAACTTCTTGGGGCCAGGTCTGCGAGGCGCTGCAGAGTCCGCGCTGTGAATCATCTGTATATATATATATAATAAAAACAATAAATAAAATAAAGATAATAATAATAGATAAATAAATAAACAAATATATTATATATATGTATATACATACATGTATATATATATATAATATATACACACACACACACATATATATATATATATATGCATGCATGGTTTAGCAGCCTGGGACCTGGGCCACTGAAGTGCGCCATGAATCAAGGTTGCGATCGGTGTCTACTGGATTGGGTGCAAAGGCTGTGATGTGAGATTTTCGGCATATACGGCCCGAGAAGGAAACAGCGTGGCCTGCAGAGTGATCTGAGATTTTGCTTTGCCAGCGGTTTTGTCCGAGGAACTGCCTGATGCGGGGAGTCCTTTGCAACAAAGACGTCCAGGGGGAGCGATGGTTCAGGCGAATTGATTCCGAAGTTTGACCAAACCCTGAACCAGGCAGAGGATCATGGAGAGCAATGGTTCAGTGTTGGCATCTTCGTTCAGAGATTCCCGCACATGGCACTTTGGAACGACGTGCTGCTTGCTCTTCCTGACTTGAGTTGATCCCACCTCTCATCGCCTTTGCATGGTTCAATTCAGCACTGACACAGCATGCGAGGGTGTGAAGCCAAGATCGTCCAAAGACAAGCGACAAGAGGTGCATGTGAGGCTCCAAGTTGCCAAGGCCTGACATGATGCTTAGTTGTTTCAGACATTGACTGCTTGATTTCCGATAGACTCGACCTCATTCGGGATGCCCTGCATTTCATGTCTGTTCCGCATTCTCGGGTTCTAGGCAACCACAGACAGAAGATTAAATCCTGGGCCCTCCAACGCCAGCTCGAAAGCACTGGATGAGGCACGCTTGGAGGTCTTCTAGACTATAAGAGGTTAGGACATAGTCCCTAGTTTGGTGTATCTATCTGGGCCATGGCAGGTGACAAGGCCCGCGCAGTGGATCCTACAGCCCTAGCCCAATAACGAAACTTGACCAGAAACCGCCACTCCAAACCTTAGTTGTCGTTTCCTTGCATACTTCTGGTTCTGCGGTATCAGTTTGCGCATTCAGACACACCCCTAAACCTGTGTCCCAAAATTGAACTGGTAATGTGCTCTGGTTTAGTGGACTTCGGCTGGGGCTTTGGATTTGGTGCTTTAACGTTCCAATGAAGCTGAGTGGCAGGCCCCACAAAATCCTCGGAGGTCCTGAAAATGTGGCACTCCTCCTCTGCCTCCTTCTCCTGCTCCTGCCGCTGCTACTGCTACAACTACACTACTAATGCTGCTGTTGCTGCTGCTGCTGCTGCTACTACTACTACTACTGCTGCTGCTGCAACTACCACTACCACTACCACAACCACTACCACTACCACAACAACAACTACTACTACTACTACGACGACGACGACGACTACTACTACTACTTTTACTACTATTACTACTGCTACCACTGCTACTACTGCTGCTGCTACTAGTACTGCTGCTACAAGAAGTACCAGCTTGTCAGCTCTCCTTTGGGGTTTAAGGCTGGCCCCAGACGCTTAGACCCTGCCGAAAACCTAAGCCTCTAGCCCCCTACACGGTGTGTAACCCTTCACCATATCCATGGACAAGCAAACTATATAAGACACGCTTTGCCAAAGACCACACAGGCAACAACAACAACAAGAGCAGCAATAACAAGAGAATAATAAAAGCACAATACCAGCCACAAAACCCTTAACATCCCCAGTGCAGTCTCATTATGAATCATTGTGAAGGCACAGTCAGGTCCACTCGGCAAGTCGAGGGTATCGAACGGTGATGCATCGCGCGTGGGGATCGCCGCCAGTTGTGGTATGAGGCTCAGACATGGAAACACGGTTGTGGACGATGCAGTCGACTATTGACATGCGCAAGATTTAGGATCTATCATCTAGTAAGTCGTCCCTTTCGAGCAGCAGTTCAGCTCCCAGAGGATGCAGCAGCAAAAAGGCAGAGACGATCCTCAAGCCCTAAAGCAGAACGTGAGGCTCAGCGTTTGGTCCAACCCCTGAAGGTCTGTTTATCCTAATGGCTTCGGAAAAACCAGGGTTCCATAAGTTTTTATTTACTGTGAGGGTTCAATTATGGGTACATGCCCGGGGTATTTAAGGATATAATACATATGGGTTTTTTAGTCTATAGGGTCGCTAGCTGGCCTGTTGCGTCGCTTTGCCCATTTTTGGCCCGCTGTTCGTCCGGGACAGGCCTGGCACATGATTCATGGCTTCAACCGCTTACACAGAGTAGAGGTCTGACTAACTAGGTGTCGTTTTCTGCGACCTATGCGGTTGATGCATATGCCAACCTGTGATTACGTTGCTTGCGACAGGCTTTCACCTGCATCCTGCACCCCGGGTCTAAATTGTAGACCTAGAACCCCGAATCTGTAATCCCAGACCTAGAACCTGAAACCTGGATTCACTCCAAAACTCGAAATCCCAAACTCCAAATCCTGATTAGAGCATGATTACACGGTGAGTAGAAGTGGATATTGCTTTCAAAGTGTGTTAAAATTGATAAATAGCCGGGTTTGTGCGAAGATCAGATGTCGAGCGGTCCT